TATGGCACCAATTCAGCATTGCCATGACAAAACAAGGAATTTGCTATAAATTCTCAGCTATGTTTTCCTTGTATAAAAACAGCTGAGAGTTAAATGGTTCACACAACCATGTAATTCTCTCTAATCTACCAAAGAACCCTGACCATTAAATAAAATACACTTGTAAAATTGAAGCGTCTTCTACACTGTGACAGATTCTTGATTCTATGAAAGGCTTTAATGATTAGGAAACCCATATTGAGTTAAAATGTTAATCAGAGGTACTATATTTTCTTGCACAAAGCTTGGTGAAATGAGAGATGTGCAGATATCTTATGCCAAGTACCTTGTGTTCACCAATGATGTAATCATTGTGTAAGGCCTTCTTAAAAAAAACAAAGAAAGGCCATTCGGCCCATCAAAGCTGAGGTCCTTTGTAGACTAGGTTATTTGCACTCAAAAAGGGAGCAGAGAACTAAAGGTTACCGTGAAAGAAAGAAGTCTGAGCAGACTAGCTAAAAATCTTAGAAGGAACGAATTTTCAAAAAATTGTCTATTTCTTCTATAGGTTTAAAAAGAGTTCTCAAAGTTCACTGCCATGGAGTATACAAAGGGATGTGAATGAATGCTAAACCATGACATTCTGTTAGCATTGTTCTTATAATGTTACATTGTAAGACTGTTTTCCACCTCATTTCTTTAGTATTTAACTTAGTTTCATCAAATCCTATTTATTTGAAATCGGTAGTGACATAAAACAACAGACTTGAGCAGAAAAAAGCAGTAATAAGAAATCAAAGGCAATGTTATCAAAACTACATCTTTCACAAATTAAGGTTTTTATTTTTTTATTTATAAAAATTATTTTTTTTGGAGGATTCTTGGTAGAAATCGTCATTTTTCTGGAGTCATAATTTTCTCATTAGACAATGAAGTATTGAAATGACACAATCAGCAAAATTTTATATTACTAAAGCTAATAATAATTTTATTCTTCTGCCCTTTTAGACAAAATCATTTTTTTAAAGCATGAAGAGCATTTTAACCCACATAATGTATGGTATACAAGGTGAGTTACGGTCCAAAAAAGAAAACAATGACGATAGGTACATTAAACAACGACTATTGCACTACTCCAATAGAAAGGTTAATTCTAAATATACAGTAAAGAAAAAAATAAATCTAACAATTCTACACTCTGCTCTTGTTTTCGTTGAACAATTAGACTAATTTGTGCAGTGGTATCATTTTACGTGATGTATAGATCGCTTGTAATAGATGTGGAATGTAAGTTATTCAGCAAGATTTCTTTAATGCAATTAATTTGGCATTCCCACACAAAACACTTTATTAATGAGCCAGCAGGTACACAAAGTAATGACGGACAGCAATTGTGCTACATTGCACCACGAGTATTTATAATTTCTTCCACAGTCGGAAGCCCCCATCAATTTCTTTCTTTGCAAATTGAACTAACCACTAGTTCCAAATTACAAGCAGAATGTCCACTACTTTTTAAGTTCTTAGTGGCTGTACAGTATATGGTGCACCAGCAGCTTCCTGTGTTCCTGCAATAACACTACCATATTCAGAGCACAACTGCTATAGAGTCAAAGGTATTCACTCTCCTTGGACTTTTTCACATCTTATTGCATTACATTATTGAAAGCAATGATTAATTTCATGAATAACACACACATGTTTCCCACTGAGATTCAATTTTTGCCTTTTGGATTACATCCCTTTAACTTTTAAATTAGAACATTTTCCATTTATATAATTCTTGTACAGTTTGTGATGTTATGTTGTTTGTGACGGTGGTGGTTTTATTGTATGTAGTGTAGTGTTCTACACTTCAGCACCACAGTATTAAAAAAACCTGAACCTTATGCATCAGACTCATTATTTAGTAATGTGAAATAATCCACTGTATTTAATGAATGAACAATTAAATCATGTTTTAGCGAAACCTGGTAAATATTATTTAGAAACATCATTGACTCCTAAAGGCATTTAATATAACTCTTAAATGCCTTTGTTGGTTTAAATATTTCATGTTTGAAACTTGGAGAGTCTTTTTAAATCCTGCAGTTTACTTATAGTATCTAAAGTTATTTAGTGTTAGGAAATGGTGCTTTAAAAACCTGAAATTGAAACTTGGCATTGAGATATTAAATGTATACATTCTAGTAAATAAAGACAGCTTGTACATAAGACTCTGTAGTCTTGTAAATTTAGTCAGTGGAACAGCCAGATAACTGTCATGTTTGACTGATTGTTCAAATACCACACCAGTGAATTGTAGATAGCTCCAGGCAGATTGCCTCTAAATTGGCATTACCACTTTCCTAAACTTTTTTACATCCATTCACCTTTTTCCCTGGACATTGGTCATTATTACATCTCTTTATGTGCTTAAGTTATTCTGTGATTTGGATTGCTTTTGCTGTTATGGATTACGTTAACCTTCACTTTGGTGAAGAGAGTGGCAGATTATGGAAAATGTTAACAGTACAGCTCTAACCGAGCAGTTTACAATATACCACATTTTAGACTTTGTATTTAAAAATTGGAACACAATGAGAGGTGCTTACTTTGCAGCATCAAGGCTTGATCTACTGTATGCAAATGTAATTGTTGGCACAAGACAAACTAGAGTGTAAGATTTTTTCCATTATAATAAGCGTTTTATATTTCCAAATAGTGTTAAGACACACAAAAAAAGCTTTTCCTTGATTTTCTGTAAAAAAAAGGTTATTTACTTCTGTTATCTAAAAAACAGAATTCACAACTATTAAAAACTGTTCGTTTTAGAGGAATTGCCTGTAATCTAAATTAATCGGTAACTTAGATTCAAAGTAATTTCAGGTATTACACACTGAATTTCCTACTTTTGTAGAAGTGTTCACAGTAGATGAAGCAGACAAGCATTTTTTTCTACATTTACATATGTAGGCCTATGCAGAATAAGGATAAAATATCCACCACCTCTGGCTGCAAATGTCCTAAATTGCACATTTTATGCCTCACTGTATTTTCCACACTTGTCCTTAGATCTAACACATCCTCATCCTGTAGTGAAAGTAAAATGCAAATCATACCCCAAAGAATATAATAGGATTGAAGAATATTGCATTCATTTGACACTTTTCATCACACAAAATATGACATTTTTAGAAAAATATTAAACCAGCTTCACTGTACCACTAAACTGTAGCACACAACAGAGTGATGTGTGGCATCTATTACGCAACTACTGTCCTTATAAAAAGCAGATCACATCATGCGATAATTTGCTTTGCCGACTGAATTAGTGGGAAACTTTAGGTACTGTAGATCAAATTGTGCAAGCCCTGAGTGAAATTTTTGTCATAGCAATTGGATCTTAATGATCTGAGTTGTCAGTACCTTTATTTTCTCAACCAAAGGACTGCACCTCGGACAGCATGGTGGTCTCGACAGTAAAATTTGATTTTCCCTTTATATTTTTGGAGTGGCTCTACATAAATTAAATTACGTTATCAACAAAAGTGTGAATGCAGGGATGAAACCAATAAATTGTGCTTTTGTTGTATTACTTTTAATATCTAGTTCTTTTCATTTTGGTTACATACTCTACAGTACAGTCCATCCCTTTGTGTACAAAGGATGAATATAGATACAAGTTCTTTAATTTTTCTGGTGGAAAGGCACTGGGCTTCATTTGTATTTTACTCCTTAGTAAAATGTTAGGGTAATATTTAACCTTCTGTTAGAATGTGGCTGTATGTCAGTTGAAATATACATATTTCTTAGCATCCATAACACTGCAGAATATACTGTATATGCTACTGTACAGTACATTTCAAACTCCCTGCAGATGTGTTGCTGCTGGAAATGTATATGAATTCCACTACCCCAGTAAATGTCAGGAACTCATTTTCAATTTTCTTGTTTCCGGGGACATTTTAATCTACGCACTGATTAAATTGGCGATTGTGATGGTCAGATAGTGAATATAGTTCCTTGCTGTTTCTGTTACACAGGGGGAGCTCCTCTTCTATTTTAGACTTGCCACCAGGTGTGACATGCACTGCTGGACAGTGCCAGTACTTTTAAGGTTTAAGCTAACTTATTAGGCTATTAAGTCTTATGAACTCACAGTCCAGCTTTAATAACATTTGCTGACAATGGAAAGAAACACTAGAGTTTGTAAACTGTAGGCAAACCTTGCTAGCTGATCAAAATATTTTAGTTCCTAAACTTTCAATGAGTCAAAATGTAATTTCTTTGTTTCCACGTATGTCTTAAAATATCTGTAGAAGAACAAACCATTCTTGATCTTATTTCTCACAAGAATTTCACCTTTTAGTGCTAAAGGCAGTTATTCTCATGACTTTAGCTTTTGCTGTTGTTCACAGCTCAGAAAATCTTTTTTTAATAGCAGTACTTCCTACTGAACAGTGTCTGGAAGAGCTGGTGTAATTTCACCATCAGCTAATAAATAATATAGGAGTCTAGCTAGCTAGTGTGTATTGACGAATAATGGTCGAGCTTTCATGTACTATACACTATTATGTCAAAATTCAAAGCCTTTTGCTCTGGTGGAAAAAGTGCTCTTTCTAATTGTAAATATACAGAGTAATCTGATATTTAAAATGAAAGTCCACCATATCTTTTCAGTTTTGCCCTCATACATTTTTTATGAATACTTAAAGATGAAGGAAAATATGTTTTGGAGCAAAACACTTTGGAAAAATGTCCCTGTATACCCAAACATTCAACAAGTGTTTCAATCCCTCTTTCTAGGATCATGTCTTAAAAGGAATCTTTGTCTTTAAAAGAACATTTTTGCTCCTGCTGTAAAGCCACTTTCCACTGTAAAATAGCTAGGAAAAGAACAGAGATTCAGGATGTTAAATAAGTTATGTTTAGGGCTACCTATCCCCTCACAGTTGTAAGGCACGGGGGCCGGACTACCACACATGCTTGAGGGTCATGCAAACCACTCGGTCTGTAAGACGATCCCCAGCAGAGGTTGATCACACATCCTCAGCACAGGGGCACGTTCGCATACACATTCTTCTCAAGTCAACGTGTGGGGAAGGCAGGGAGTCTGCCTCAAGCCTGGCTCAAACGCGCAGCCCTTATAAATCTCACTGAGGACACAAAGAGAACTGCAGTCCTAAAAGCTATCTTGGAGAGGAGCTTTGAGACTTCTGCACCGTCCACGGGGGAAGTTACCAATCCTTCAACCAGGACGCCGGACACCTCATTTAAGCCATGCATTTCCAAAGGCAGCTGTGAATATCAATGTTCGCCTGCACAAACATTTTGGATTTTTGCTTTATTCTCATGGGGGTATAGGTACCATTCAGGTTGTTATGACATTTTCACTGTTTTCTAATTGAGAAAAAGGAAAGGCACAGAAAGAAAGGACAGAGAGAGAGAGAGAGAGAGACCAGCAAAGGAACAAGTCACCTCAGCTGGTCATTGTTTGTTTGTTGCTTTTCATTACGATGATCTGGGAGATGTTTGCCTATCACTTCCTCTCACTTGTCTTTCTGGCGGTGTTGATGGGGAGCGCCAGCGTAGTGGAACAGCGGAGTAGGGGTGCCGATAGCAATGGGAGGCGATACAGCCGTATCCAACATGGACAGTGCATGTACACCTTCATCCTTCCTGAAAATGACAGCAACTGCCGAGAAGGCAAAGCAGGGCAGTACGACACCAACTCTCTTCAGAGAGATGCTCCGCAGGTGGACCTCGAGTTCTCCACACAGAAGATACAGCATCTGGAGCATGTCATGGAAAATTATACACAGTGGCTACAGAAGGTAAGAAGCATGTTTTTGTCTCCTCCAACAGGATACAATTATGCTGTTTTTCTTCAGTGTATTAGGATGTGGATTGTCTAGACAGCACAGTATAAGTGATACATCATCACTGTCTTTCCTTTTTTTTCTTCCTGGTAAACAGGATTCTCGTTACCGTAGTATACTGTCAAGCATGTATTGAATGTACTGAACAGTTTTAAGTTTCTTTTTTACTTTCTTCTTAGGGGGCTGGAGAAGTACATTTTGGGCAAAAATTCTAAAAAATATTTTTGCTAACAACCTAACAGAAATCTGTGTTAAATATCAAAGCACAATTTAATAATCCCCATGTAAAGAAGCAGTGAATTCATGTTAAAATAATGCATTCATGGCCAATTATGTTATGCTCTGTGTTATTATGCTCATGTCCTAGATTCATATGCCTATCACTATTGTATATTTAAATTATTTTTCTTGAAAATGACATGCCATTGCTGTGTTCTTCTCCAGGATAAGTGACTCTCTGATAAAGGTCTTTAGAAGGATTTTCAATTAGTGGATAAAGCAATGGATACTAAATTCTGTGTGACAGACCTTTTGAAATAGGAATATTATTCACTGTAAAACATTTCTTAATTACAAAATCAGAAATGTCCTATGATAGTTAATAATAGGAGAAGATAAAATAAAGTTTTTCTTTTTGTTTTAATATAAAAATCTAAAATCCTAACAAATGTGTGAACATTTTTATAATATAGTTGCTAACTATTTCATTTAAATCTTGACATTTTGATTTTCTTTAAACATGTACAACTCCTTTGAGATGCAGTAAAGTTAATTCTATTCCCTTTACATTAATGGACATACTCGACTTCATTATACCTTGTACCATAGTGCTTCATTTTAAATATAACACATACTCCTAAATGTAACACTCCAGGAAGATGCAGGAAATAAAAAGAATCCTCCACAAAGCATTGAGCATATGCTTTAAAATAACATTGAAGCGGTGCAGATACATGAACTACTTTCTGCTGTTTCTTGGCACATTAATTTGGCAAAGAATTTGCTTTGGTGAAACAAAATCATACCTGACATCATCAGTAGAATTTATTGGATGCACATGCCAAACATGCCACACTAAGATGTGCTAGCATACAGAGTATATACAGTACAGAACTGGTTAAATAAAAACACATCTAATATACTGTAGGAGTGTTCAGGAAACTGTTTTTGAAGTTGGTTTAAACAGCAGAATGAAAGCCTTATTTTCCCCCATCCCCTCCACACTTTTGTGATGTCATTATAACTATATTCTTGGCACATTTCATCGTGTAATACATACCTGTAGAATGTTTTTGCCAAATCCTTTTCTCACCCAGCAGTGCCAAACAAAGTTGTATCCTCAATCTTGTTCTGTTGTTTGGTTTAATGTTTTGTTTTTTTGTTTGGATTTTCTATCTGAGAAATTTTACCCTAGCGGCTTTTCTAAAGATGTTACAATGAACAGGTGTTCTGCTGTAACAGTTTTCATTTCATAAGATATGAATTTGTACAGCATGACAGTAGCACAGGGGTTAGCATTGCTAGGAGCTTGGGTTCAGTTCCTTCGGTGCTATCTGTGTGACATTTGTACAGTCTGTTCTCCTGGAGTTCAAGTGGGTATTTACAGTATATTGCACATACCCAAAGAAGACTCCACAGTGGAAACGTTGTTTTCTTTCTACTTATTCCTATTTAATTTTATGCGTAGAGAGGTGCAATCTTACTTCTAAATGTGACGCATTAACTCCTGGAGCAATACATGTCCCCTGCTCATGTATTGTACACTTTACCTTGAGTAATTGTAATCAGGTTATACTGTAGATGACTCTGATCAATGAAAATTATTGATACAGTACTTTAAATTGCAAGATCAGTTTATTCTCGCCGAAACTAAACTGTATTTAATAACATTTAAAGCTAAATAAATGAAGAAAACACCAGTCGAGACTTAATGATTGTTATCAATAGCAATAATTCATGGGCTGTACCTCATTGTCAAGTATTATCTACCATGAACCCCAAAGTAACTTTTGGGAGCAGCACACACTCTCTGGCAAGCTGAGTGGGCGTGGTCTCTAGAGATATCAGGTCCTGTACTGTGCAATCTGGCGAGAGATCTTTTTGATGTTCTCACTTTGCTTCCTCTTTTTTGACACTTTTGGGTTCTTCCTCCATCTGGTTCATTTAAGCGCTAAAGACTTAAGTGAATGGGAGTTGATATCCATGTTGCATTTCTTCATATTTGCTTTTATCACACCTTTAAAGAGCTTCTTCCGTCTTCCTCTGGTTCAATTGCCTTTACAAAGCTGGCAGAAGAGAATCTTCCATGGGAGCCTTGAGTCTGTAGTTGTTTCTAATGTTTTTTTTTAGTTGTGGTGCATTTATTGTGTATACTGTCTATATTTAAAAAATCCAAACTACATTGAATTCAGCTTAAAATGGAATGAAACAGCTTTTAAAACCTGTTCTCTCACTGATATCAATATTGACAAAGCAAAACCTACTCAGTTAATCTGAATTATATGCATTCAATAACATGCTGACTGCATGTCTTATTAAAATTCTGTCATATGAATTAATACTTGAGAAATTTTTCCTCAAGCAAATTCAGGAACATTTTGATGGGTATTTATGGAATGCTGTCTGATGAACATTCTTAATTTTTGTTGCTGATCTTTGCTTAAGAACTGATAAAAAGATGGTGGAGAGAGTCTAAATCTAGCACTTGAAGCTCCTTTAAGTCTGCATTATGGTACGCTATGGATTTAAAATAGTTGTCCCAAAAATAAGAACTAAAAGACCGAATCATGTCATAATAAATTGGAACATCATATTAATAAAATGTGAGGAATAGGAATATTTGTAGAAGCAGTTTTTTTCCTATAAATGACAAGATGGAAGAAATAGAGATTTGGTTGGAAGCATCACTTTCTCTCTACTGTGTTTTACAAAATTAATTCTTTGGGAAGAAAGTAAAGGTTAGTATACCTTCAAACTCCAAGCTGTTCAATTATTACAGACGTGATTAAGTTGTCACAACTAAATACATATAAAACTGCTGTTTATATACTGTACCTAGTACTAAAAGAACAATCCTTAATTCTTTCTAGCATTGTTTTACTCTGGTCACAAAACATGAAGGATGTCTGCCATCACCAGCAATCTGATAACAGCACACTTGTCCCCTCATGTAAGAATCACTAGCATGTCAAAAGAAAAAAAAACCTCCATAACAAAACCGAGGCAAGCAGATCCAGCAGCACCATATTCCTGATGACTAGTGACGACGGATAATGCTTGTTCCACAAAAAGCTTCCAGGTGAGCTTTAAAATGATCAAGCTTGAATATATATATATTTTAAAAGTGATTTATCCTATCTTATTGAGTAGAACATTTCATACACAAGAACACACATACACAAAAGGGATTGCTAGGGTGCAGCTCTGCGTGAATCAGCCTTCTGCCCTCAGTCTGTCAAACAAGGTTTAGGGGCATGAAAATGGGTGCATTGGGGTTTGCCCATACCTGTGGAAGCACTCAACCGATAACTCAGGTGTGCTTGAGAACAAGCCAAATATTGTGTATAACAAGTACACATTATCCTGCGAAGCAGTGTCTTAGAAACAAATGAAGCTGTTGGGCAATTAAGTCTTTTTTTGTGGTTGTGTGACATTGCCAAACAATGAGGTAATGAGGGCAGCTCCCTCTGTTAATTTAATAGGGAGAACAGGGTAATCTCTGAAAGCCAGTGAGTGCCTTTGACAGACTGTCTTACGTTTCCATGATATATTTTGCAGAGCAGCATGTTAGGAAAGCAATTAGCCCTGCTGCCTCATGCCTCTTGGATCCTGAATTTGTTTCCTGACTGGGGCACCTGTGTGTTTTCTGTGTGTGAGTTTCCCATGGTCTTACCATATGCACGTTGGCTTTCTCTGAATGTTTTTCTCTGCTATGGGTTTCTCCTATCTTCCAAGGAGAAAGTTGTATTTAATTTGTATTGTTGTGGGGGGTCTGCCTTGAAATGGACAGGCATCCTGTCTTATGCTCACTGTATCTGGAATAGAGTCTTGGTTGCTTAGACACTTACTGTACTGTGAAGAAACAGTTTCGATAAAGGACATACTGGGTTTGTTTTGTCATTGTGCACAAAGAGACAATTAATTCTACTCAATAGTTTTAATCAATGGAGATTAACAAAGTATTGAAAAGTGCATGAATCGTTCCCCTTCTTTTACTGGGTAAAATGAAATGTAAAATGGAAACAACAAGAGGCAACAAATCTATAACAGTAATTGCAAGAACATGTGCTACTGTATATGGCTTTGTGATGCAATAATGTCATATTCAAGTGCAACAACACTGTAGTGGAATGTTGCTGAGCAACGCACTACTAATACATATGAGGTTACATGATTATGGAAAAGTTACCCCACACTTTGAAAAATGCACAGAACAAACTAAAAACTTGTGTTTACCTTGTGGTAATTAGGGAAATAGAGGCCATTCACAGTGCAAGGACAAAAAATGCAAATTGGAAAAGAATTTGAAAAGTTTTTAAACATCCTCCATCAGAACAGAGATGGAAAATAATGCACATTAGGACCATAAAAAAATAATTTAGTTCAGAGCATGCAAAGCAAAGTAAAAACTATTTCCCTGGTCAATGGTTCCTGAAAAACAATGTAAAGACAACACTGATTCACTATTTTGTTCATGATAATAAGTCAGTACAACAAAGACAAAGTAATTTAAATAGCACCCATCTCGAGCTTACTTGTATGAAAGCACAATAAAATGACTCTTTTGTTCTTTACTCCTAGTTTTCAAATTTAAGTAATTTGTGTCAGATGTTTAATGTACACCTGTCAGATGTTTAATGTACAGAAGCTCTGATCTGCTCTATCAAGGGTAATTTATTGTAAAGTTATTAAGTAAAGATGCATATCATAGTTGAAATATTATGTAGACGAAACTG